TTTTAAGCAACATCTTAAGCTTGCCGCATAATATGTATTAGTGAACTTAATATAAGTACTCAGGCTTTGCGCCACTGTTTATAATACCCCAGTCTTGTATAGAAGGAAATTTACATGAAAGGATTCGTGTTGGAAATCAAAGACGATGATGGATTATGGTGTTGGTGCATGAGCGCAGTGCTCTGTCCCATAGGCTCGCAAAGTCACAGGAGGAGTGGGAGAGAATGGCCCCTAGTTCAAGAAGTTTCTTGCTTAAAATAATATTATGTATTTTTAATGTCGCTTTCTGATTCGTTCAACAGAGAGGCCTAATGCTGTTGCTAGGTTCACTTAGTCGCTGTGGTACCTAGTGCCGATGGTTCATTTCCCGAGAGGTGATGCCTAAATCGAGAGTTACCTGCTTACTGACTGATTGTGACTAGGCATACAGCCAAACTGACTCTGGAGTAAAAGTAAATACATTGTCAGTAATTAAATTAGTTTATTAGAGGACACTGTAGTAACCTGATTTTGGAAGGGGTGATCTGGCGTCACTAAATAAGTTCTTATATTAAATATCCTATATCGTTCATTATTTTGACAGTTCCTATTTTTCTTTGAGAAATTGTTAGTGAAAATATCACATTTTTGTCGACTATATTATCTGATCCACGGAATTCATTAAGGTTCTCTGAGCTTATATAAACGAAACCAGATCCAGGTATTATGCTCATTTTTCTACAATTTCCTTGCTGCTTTTGATGTCTATAATTAATTGTGAAGTAATTTTTTTGCCGTTTATGATTTAAGGTCATTTTACTAGATGACAACCGGGCTAACGTTCAACTTATTGTCCTTCCTACTGCTAGGTCGTCTACTCACAGTGCGTCTATCTACAGTTGACAGGCTGCCAGGTCTCTTTACTCTGAATGAGCGAGTAGCCTATCTGGGAGAGTGGGATCATGGATTCTTCTCGATGACTGCTGTTGGAGCATTCGCCGTTGGCTCCATACGTGTCGGTTTGGATCCTAATTTACGCACTAACGTTTCTGGTGCCCCTCCTGGATCTTTTTCGTCAACTTCGTTAGTTGGCTTCGAGCCAACTTACAATGAACTGGTGCTGATGCAGCCAGGTTCATTTCAACCTGAAAAGCATTTGACGCCTGGTCAGAAGTTTGGTGAATTTCGCCTGGGTTCTACAGTTGTTCTGCTCTTTGAGGCGCCTCGCGGTCAGTTTAAATGGGCTGTGCGCGAAGGCGATCGTGTCAAAATGGGACAAGCTTTGCTTGAATAGTCGTCTCAACATTTGAACTCCATCATCTTACGAGTACTATTCCTTCTACACATCTTTATTTCTACTTCTAGAG